GCTTGGTCGTTACTTTAAAAAACAAAAACTTATATTTAACGACCAAAAAATGCTCCAAACGTTTTTTTAAATTAACTTCATAAAAAAACGAAACAAAATATAATCACTTTGCTATTACATACAAAACTGAACTATTTTAATAGTTGAAACAGTAGTATAAGCTGTTTTGGGAGAAGGGGAAAAAAAGACGGGCTCGGGTCGGTAATTCTGATAAGCTGTCGGACACGGGCCGGACTAGGGCCTGAGCGTCTTGGGCCAGGGCTGGGCTAGGGCCTAAATTTGAGGCCCGTGCAGGGCTCTAGTTCTTTTTGCCAGTTCCTGTTGCCTTTTTTTGTAATAAAAAAATGTTTTGGAAGTCTACCTCATCTACACATCAGGTGTAACACATGAATGTAATCTTAAGAAGTTTCTTGAATGATGACTTTAACTGTGAACCCTTACCAGTGTGTCATCACTGCGTGCCACACTCATATTGCTCCTAGACAGGAAGGAGCGGGAGAGCCGGTTACACAGAGAGATGAGACGCACCGATTGCTAAGGAAGTCAGACAAAACAAACAAACAAACAATATTAAAGGAGAGATGATATTCGTGACACATTCTATAGAATTTGTAACAGGCCTTTTATCTAAAGCATCAAACAGCGATTACAACTCCTCTCAATAGATTAAATAATATTTCAACTCTTCAAATGACATGTTAACCGACTATTATTTGTTTTTATGACACAAGCTTAATTCTGCGCTTGAGGGCACTGTAACTTTATGCGCGCTTCTTTATTGTTTCATAGCTCCAAGGGTTTGTTTAGCGTGCTTTTAACAGCGTGTGTGCTGTGTGGAAATAGCGTGACTTGTTGGCGTGGCACATAATGCTGATTCCTCAGAAAGCACTACTGAGGGCACAACACTGCTCACACTTTATGTCAAATAGTTACTTTTTTCACAGTAGAACATGATGTTTGCTATCTGAATGTTGAACATTTAAACAGAAAACAGTCAAAAGTCGAATAAAAAAAAGCACCTTCCATTTTCTTCTGGCAGCAAACTTCTTAAATTTCTCCATATTCACTGCTGATTCCTTCCGACTCAGTGCCTGCTGTGTGTCCTTTGGCTTAAAAGAAGACATTCGCACTTTTAACCAAGTGTTAAGATGATAATGTGCTTGATAACTGTTTCATATGGAGTGGTTGTTGGACAAACCTTGATCCAGGGGTGTTGAAGACTGTCCAGGATTGTCATTCTTTTTCTGTAAACATGAAAACATCATTTTCACATGTGATATTTACTTTTTTTAACACACAGAATGTAATGAACATAGGCAGGCAGTTTGTGAACCTCTCATTATTTAACTTAAAACAACAAGCTCCTACAAATGAGCACCTAAAAGACAACCTTCGGAGTAAACAAGAAGGCATTCAGTATACAAATCCAAAGATATTTATCACAGTGTGCATTGCGGAACACACAGAAGGAATTGTGGGATTGGGCTCTGGAATGTTGCATATCAGCTTTCGTGACAATGTTTAGACTTAAACAGCATTTATGCTGTGAATGACGCATTTTAGTGAAGTACCGACAGGACTTCTGCAGAACTAGTTTTAGTTCTCTTTTAAATATCATCAGAAGTAAATGAGCTCAGTGTAGATAAAGACTAAATGAGAGCAGTCAACCCGCAGAGAAGCAACTTGGTAGACCAATATGGAACCAAAACAGGAATTATTAACGTCTCCACATTCATGTGCAAAGCACCTGTTCTTGTTTGTTGACACAACCCACTTCCTCAGTTACTTAGTTAATTAGTGACATGATTTGTGACGAACGTTCTTCGCAGGATTCACTGATTCAGTATAACCACAGAAAATCAGTTAACAACTAGTTTAATTATATTTAATAATATTAAAAAAAACAAAAAAAAAACAATATAAATAGTGAAAAGTAAAAATAAAATATTATTCAAGCCAGTTGGTTTCTAAAAAGGAACTGCTCAATAAAAGAAACCAAGCTCCTACAAATGAGCACCTAAAAGACAACCTTCGGAGTAAACAAGAAGGCATTCAGTATACAAATCCAAAGATATTTATCACAGTGTGCATTGCGGAACACACAGAAGGAATTGTGGGATTGGGCTCTGGAATGTTGCATATCAGCTTTCGTGACAATGTTTAGACTTAAACAGCATTTATGCTGTGAATGACGCATTTTAGTGAAGTACCGACAGGACTTCTGCAGAACTAGTTTTAGTTCTCTTTTAAATATCATCAGAAGTAAATGAGCTCAGTGTAGATAAAGACTAAATGAGAGCAGTCAACCCGCAGAGAAGCAACTTGGTAGACCAATATGGAACCAAAACAGGAATTATTAACGTCTCCACATTCATGTGCAAAGCACCTGTTCTTGTTTGTTGACACAACCCACTTCCTCAGTTACTTAGTTAATTAGACATGATTTGTGACGAACGTTCTTCGCAGGATTCACTGATTCAGTATAACCACAGAAAATCAGTTAACAACTAGTTTAATGATATTTAATAATATTTTAAAAAAAACAAAAAAACAATATAAATAGTGAAAAGTAAAAATAAAATATTATTCAAGCCAGTTGGTTTCTAAAAAGGAACTGCTCAATAAAAGAAACAACTAGCGGCAAAGGTGAACCCTACCAAACCACCTCAAACCATAACAAGCTTCTTCAGTGGTTCTTACTTTGGATCTTTGAGCAGTAACCGTGCAATGAAGTCTTTGGCCAAAGCACTGGTGTTGCTGAAGTATTCCTCATCAAACTCGTAGTCCACAGCTGACACATTGGCAAGTGTCTCCTGCTTATTTTCACCCAGGAAAGGTGAGGCACCACTAAGTCTGAAGATACAGAGAAAAAAGACAATTTTATCACCCATTTATTGGACGTGAACGTCTACAGTACAGCAGCATTCAACAAAGTTTACTTATTAAGTTTACTACTGACCATTACTATTAAAGTGTGAGAAAACAGGCAAAGGCCATTTAGTGTTCAACATAAGCACTTTATTTTACAAGCTCAATTCCATTTTTTCTTTTGTGATAAAAATCTGTTATAGACCAGAGTAACATTGGGTCCCAACAAGCTCTCTTTCCACTATTATAATCGAAACTTATTGCTGTTGCTAATTAAAAATCTGCAGTGATAAATCTTTACATGGCTTTTAGAAACACTGTCAGGAGAAATTTTATTAATTGTAAAGTTACAGCTGTTCTAAATTCACACTGCTAATTAATGGCGTTCCCTATGGGTGAGAAGCAGTCTCAAAAAAATGTGAGAAAAAGAAAAGAATGGTGGAATAGGAGTGCAAGAAGAGCGTCAGGATTAGATGTGACAATGGTGTGCGATATCTACCCGATGTGAAGCTCTATTTGCCAATGATGAAAGGAGAGTGTAAGGAACAACCCTGAGATAGACATTGAACTTTCTAGCTCTCTTTGGACTGCTAATATTAGCACACGTTGATGGACAGATAGTGATGGACACAGATAGGATAGAGAAGACAAGAATATACATTTTTGGATCAAACGTGGCTTTAACAATCCTAAAAGTAGGCTTAATTTTCTTTATAGGGGTGCTCCGATTGATCGGCTACCGATCACTATCGGCCGATAATTGCTTTGGGAGGTTTGATCGGCGGTCTCTATAAAGGCAGATCTCATAAACCGATCTCAAGCTGATGACGCGCCTGCCATGTGAGGTTCGGCATGACATACAGCAGCACCGTCTCAGTCTCTGTCCGGCGTGGGTGAAATAATTATAATGCTGAAGGTGAGGTACAATTCATATTTCTTCATTAAATAACTTATAAAGTAATTTGAAGACTTTCTGTGAGACATAATTTCACAAATAGCGAGTGAATCACCGTAAGCTCTCTTTCCTTCTTTTAAAAATGCCCAAATGGCTTCAAGTCAAATCGCGTCTGCAAGCGTCTATAAGAGAGCTGCACAGTCGACACAGGAATTGTCACTTGGACAATCGAGGCAGTGTCGCATCGTCACTAAAGTTTATAAATTGCATTTTTTTAAAAATTCTTGCCAGTGTTTAACCATTCAGCGCTCGCACGCTCTTCTGGAGACTGTGCGCTCATGCACACTCGCAGCGCACACACATAACGCCAGGTTCACATTACTCCGTTTGCAATGAGAAATGCTGTGCGTATTTTTTCCGTGCTCATGTTAACGGATTAAAGTGTTCACACTGCACACAGTTGCTGTCTGGCAGTGCATTTCATGAGCGGTGCATCTGCAGCAGTGCAGCGATTGTTTCCACACCGAGTTTGCTGTGATGCACGCGCTGAATTAAAGTGACAGCGCATTGTTTGTGGTAAATATGAACATGGATTGACACAGAAAATGTAGTAATAACACCATGAATGCATAATTAAAGTCTACTGTGTTTCACAGTCAACACACATGGCTTTTTGGCTAGGTTTAAAGGAAAAGAGCACTATTAGATAAACAAAGCATTAATAGATGGCACTCGTGGAGGTACTGTAGGAAAACAAAGTTCTGTATTAACCGCAAGATTGCTTGTAATAAAGATTTAAATGCTAAAGAAAAGGCAGTAGAGCTGACTGTTTCTGTCAATGGCAAGTTTTAATTTAGAATGTTTGTGATAACGTAAGAAAAGTAGTTTAAATGTTTTGCCACTTGCTTGAGCAACTTAATATATAAATCTAGAAGTAAATGCAAAAGTAAAAAGCATTGAATTATGTGTTGCTTATATTTATTGCATTTAAACACGTCTATAAAAGATTGTATTACTGTACTATGTAAAAAAAAAGAATCACAATGCTGAAAAAGCATTTTTAGTAACAATATTTGGATTTGAAATCAAAATAATAGATAAAAGTTGTGTTTGTGGTAAACAGCCACAGATCAGTAGCGTACTCCTGCACAATGAAGTACCGCATATGGACTACATAAGCGCTGCAAACAGAGTATGTTGAACCTGGCGTAGGCCGCCTCACATATAGCTCATGAAATCAGGCTTGTACTATGTGTAAGCAATTGTGCAACAATTGAACAATTGTAAAAACAAGAATGCACTGCATGATTAAACATTTAGGTGAGATAAATATATATTTTTGAGAAAAGAAAAGAAAAAAAAAATTCCACCCCTCAAATTAAAAAAATCCCCTCTCACAAGAGTCACCTAAAAGGGGACTTCATTTTCAAAAATGAAATTCAGGTCCTGAAAAAATATCTAAAAATCTTGATTGGATAATCACTATAAATAATTCTACATGATAAAAAGGAGGCTTTTAAAAGATCGGTATCGGTGATCGTATCGGCAGTAGTAGTCGACCGATATATCGGCATTTTTCATATATCGGCATCGGCCGACAAGTTTTTCTGTTTGGCCGATGTGTTTGAGGCGTGACTTTTATTTTGACAGTGCTGAAAACGCCAGCACCTCAACACACA